GAGATGGAGTTTCACTCTTGTTGCCCAGTTTGGAGTGCAATGGCGTGATCTCGGCTCACTGCAACCTCTGTCTCCTAGGTTCAAGCGATGCTCCTGCCTCAGCCTCCCAAGTAGCTGGGAGTACAGCCATGTGCCATCATGCCCAGCTAATTTTGTATTTTTGGTAAAGACGGTGTTTCACCATGTTGGTCAGGCTGGTCTTGAACTCCTGACCTCAGGTGATCTGCCTGCCTTGGCCTCCCAAAGTGCTAGGATTACAGGTGTGAACCACTGCGCCCAGCCATAATTTTTGTATTTTTGGTAGAGACAGGGTTTCACCATGCTGGCCAGACTGGTCTCCAACTCTTGACCTCAGGTGATTTGCCCACCTCGCCTCCCAAAGTGTTGGAAATACAGACATAAGCCACTTCACCCGGCCTGCTGTACCCTTTTGGAGGCTGGCATCTCAGCCCCTCCGTACTTATGGAGGTGAGCTGATGAGTAAAGTGCTTCCTGGGACACCCGGAGATCAGACTCTCCCGGCACCAGGAGCCTGTCCCTGTAAATCCTGGATGGGGGAGGGGTGGGGAATGGGCAGGGACCTAGACTGGGGCAGCTCCTGCTCCAGCTGCCTCCCTGCAGGACTCATCCTGCTTAGGTACCTGATGGATGAAGGGAAGTCCTTCCACCCCTAGCCCAACCTCACCTTGAAAGAGGTTTAAACAAGACAGGCCACCAAGCCACAGAGTCTCAGCCAGCCCCCAACACCTTCGGCCCAAGTCACTTCTACAGCGCCCAGCCTCTGCCGGAACACCCTGGTGAAGGTAGGGAAGCCCTCTTGGGAAGGCCATGCCAGTGCCCTGTGTCTACACCTCCTGGAACCCCCTCTAATCCCTTCCTGGTTCAGCCCGGACAGCTGTCTCCACACAAGGACTTCCAGTCTCTGTGGCACCCTGGTCCCTCCTGGTTGAGAGAGCCCAGTCTGTCTCCCATCCCACAGAGGGTCCTGGGTGCACAAGGCACTCCAAGGGGCCTGACTCAGGCCTGTGGATACAGCTCTGAACTCAGGCCCCTGGAGAACCCAGGGTGAGTGTAGGGGGCTCCAGCCCCTTGGGAAGAGCCCCATGCCGCCTCCCTAGACTTCAAGGGCACCACCCATGCCTGCTCCACCTCAGCAGGTGTGCGACAGGTCTGTGGGCATCAGGCTCCCTCTGGGATGGCCCCAGGCCTCTCCCCTGCCAGTCCTCCCCAGCCATCCCAGGGAGCTCTCCATAGGGCTCTGGAGCTGGCAGTCACAGGCCCCGCCCCCAGCTGGAGACGAAGCCAGACCTCCGGGATGCTGGGAGCAGGGTGCCCATCCAGGACTCCTGGCACTGCCATCCCGACCCACTGGGCACCTGATTCTTGGGCACAGCCCAGGACAGAGGCGGTCAGACCCCACAGCCTGGCTGGGAGGGTGTGTGGGCGCCCTGGGAGGCCTCAGAAGCTCCAGTCCCAGGCATGGTCTGGGTACAGCAGGCCCGCCTGTCTGCCCCTCACGACACCTCCTCCCGCTGTCAGCGCTAGCTATCCAAAAACAGGCCCCCCAAAACCTGGTTTTGGAGGTATTTCCCAGCTTATAAGGAGGAGGTACATCTTGGGGGTCCCTCAACTTCGGGTGGGAGGGAGAAGCTGCCTGCTCCCAGTGGGAAGCAGACCCTGTTTCAGGGCGTGGGGTCACCCCCTGCCCCCTCCCTCACCCACGTGGCTTCGGAAAGCCCCATGCTGGTGAACTCCCCAAGCTGGAAGTCGGGGCGTGCGGGGCCACCTGTCCTGGAGCTGCCCCCAAGCTCCTCCCACTGCCAGCGGGGCAAGGGCCCGCTCCCTGCGGAGCCTCGGGGCACCCCGCGTCGGGGCGCGGGGCTGGGGGTGGAGTGGGTGGCGGGCCCCACGACCCGGAGGGGACAGCGGGACCGACTGTGGAGGGCGAGAAGGCGGGGCTCGGGACGCTGGACTCCGGCCCCCCCCCGCCGCCAGGCCCGGGACGCGGCCGCCGCCACCTGTCGCGCTCGTGGGCTCGGGGCCCTGCCTGGCCTGGCGGCGGGGCGGGGGGGTCCCTGGGGCGCCCCGGCCCTCTCTCCCCGGGCTTACCAGGCACACGGCGCGCGTCACCACCTGCGGCTGCGTCAGGAAGCGCCGCAGGTCGAAGGAGCCGCCCGCCTTGGCCGCGCCGTAGGCCCCGCTCTCCATGTCGCCGTCGCCGCTGCCGCCGCCGCCGCGGAACGCCGAGAAACCTGCCGGCGCCGCGCCCCGCCCCGCCCTCCGGGGGCGTGGCCAGGCGCCGCCAGGGACCGAGGGCAAAGTGCGGCCCTCACGAGCAACGAGCGGGCCTCGGGACTGCGCTTCTAGCGGCCGGGAGGGGCTCTGGCCGCGGAGCACCTGTGTCCACCCCACCTCCGGGTCGGGGGTCTCCTCCCCCGGCTACGCCGGCCGCCGCACAACCAGAAAGAGTACCCCAGGAAGAGGGACGGACGGAGGACCGCTCACCCTCTTTGCCCCTGCCCTCCCGCCGCCTCCTCCAGGAAGCCCACCACCTTCCAAGAACCCACCCAGGCTCATAAGCACCCCCTCCCCCATCCCACTGAAAAACCCAGGCCACACCCTGGAGACCCCTTCCTGCCTGGCCTGCCACTCTTTCCTCCTCTCTGGGGCTGAACCTATGGCGGGGTCAAAGACCCCGTCCCCATTCCTCCTGGTCTGGGCGGAGCCCCAAGGCTGTGAAGGGCCGTGCGGCTTCACACCTAAGATGGTGTGCAAGGCCGGGCGCCCTGGCTCACGCCTGTATTCGCAGCACTTTGGGAGGCTGAGGCGGGTGGATCACCTGAGGTCAGGAGTTCGAGACTGGGTAATATGGCGAAACCCTGTCTCTACTAAAAATACAAAAAAAATTAGCTGGGCGTGGTGGCGCATGTCTGTAATCCCAGAGTAGCTGGGATTACAGACAGGTAATACAGCCTGCGCGACAGAGGAGACTTTGTCTCAAAAAACAAAAACAAAAGTCAGCGGGTGTGGTGGCAGCTACTAATCCCAGCTACTCCAGAGGCTGAGGTGGGAGAATCGCCTGAGCCCAGGAGGCAGAGGTTGCACCCACTGCACCCCAGCATGGGTGACAGAGTAAGACCCTGTATCAAAAAAAAAAAAAAAGAGGGCAGCGTGCAAACCAAAAGGAAGTTTTCAGGGCGATGGGCCGGGAGCAAAGTTTAATCCAGTTCCAGCCCCCTCTTGCTTCCATCTGTCTCCACCTCCATCCCAAGAAAAACCGGTACAGAGGGTCCAGTGCAGGGAAGGCTGGGGCAGGCTCTGCGTGTTGGAGTGGGAGTGGAGACTGTAGAGACAGGTGTGGGGTCACAGGCTGACTGAGCCCGGAAGAATTCCAGACCCCCCTTGTTAGTTGCAGGTGCAGATTAACAAGAGCAGGTGTGCCAGGTTGAGGCTCAGAGTCCACCCAGGTGAGCTGGACCACGGGAGAGTTGAACCAGACTTCTGGGCCACGAGGAGGTGGGGTGCCCCTCCAGGGAAGAGGGGAGCAGGCATGTGGGGGGCTGGGCCTTTTCCCAGTGTGTCAGTGTCTCTCTCCCCACACCTGCAGAGATGTGGCAGCACCTCAGTGGCGAAGACAGGGCCACACAGACCACCCCCTTTCTGTGATCCTCCTCAAGCCCTCACACCAACGCTGTCCACATTTGCTGAAGGCCACCAGGGGTCCAAGAATCCCAGCTGGCAGGCTCTTTTCTTTTCTTTTTTTCTTTTCTTCTTTTTTTGAGACAGAGTCTAGCTCTGTTGCCCAGGCTGGAGTGCAGTGGTGCTGGGCTCACTGCAACCTCCGCCTCCTGGGTTCAAGCAATTCTCCTGCCTCAGCCTCCTGAGTAGCTGGGATTACAGGCCCGTGCCCCCATGTCCAGCTAATTTTTGTATTTCTAGTAGAGATGGGGTTTCACTGTGTTGGCCAGGCTGGTCTCGAACTCCTGACCTTTTGATCTGCCCGTCTTGGTCTCCCAAAGTGTTGGGATTACAAGCGTGAGCCACTGTGCCGGGCCTCTTTTTTCTTTTTTTAAAATAAATGTTCTTTTGTTCATTTAAGGTAGACAACCTGACATTACGGAATTTATATAGACAGCACAAAGATTCCGATAGTGAAGCACATTAACATATCCACCACCTCTTATAGTTACCCATTTTTTTGTTTTTGTGGCAAGAGCCACTAAAACACACTCATTTCGCATGAATTCGAAATCCAGACGGTACATTCTGATGGTCCACGGTCCTGTCGTGCTTGGCTCTCTGGACAGCTCATTCTATATGGCTGCTGCTTTGTGTCCTCTGACCTCCCCATTCCCTACCCTGAAAACCCTCCAGGCTCCCCTTCAGACGGTGGGTGCTCCTGCAGGGCAGCAAGGCAAGGATGGGCACTCCAGAGGCCTTGGCAGTCCTGCATCTTCTGGTCACGACCTTGATGACAAAGCAGTAAAGACTTAGCTCAGGCAGGCTCACCTCCCAGCCATCCCCTCCCGAGGCCTCTGGGAGTGTTTGTTTTGAGTGGAGTTTCACTCTTTTTGCCCAGGCCGAGATCGTGCGATCTCAGCTCACTGCAACCTCTGCCTGCTGGGTTCAAGCACTTCTCCTGCCTCAGTCTCCCGAGTAGCTGGGATTACAGGCACATGCCACCACGCTTGGCTAATTTTGTATTTTTAGTAGAGACGGGGTTTTACCATGTTGGCCAGGCTGGTCTTGAACTCCTGACCTCAGGTGATCCGCCTGCCTGAACCTCCCAAAGTACTAGGATTACAGGCGTGAGTCACTGTGCCTGGCCTGCCTCTGGGAGTTTTATGGTGCTAGGCACATTAGTGCCCCAGCATGAGAGGCATGAGGCTTACTCACCCCACTAAATTAAGGCTGTATACCATTTTACAGAAGGAAAAACCGAGGCTTAGTGAGACAGGGTTCACCCATCAGTCTGGCTCCTGGTAAGAACAGACTTGGCAGGAAGGGACCCAGAAGTGAGACAGGAGAGTGACAAGGACAGATTCTTGGCAGAGCCACGGAAGGGGCTGGCCACAAGCAGAGGATGAGAACCAAGACACAGCTCCAAACAAAGAAGTGACTTCACAGAGGCAGGGCTGGCCACCACCAAGGCCAGACCTGCGGGGGACACAGGCCTGCGGTGCCTGTGCTCAGACACCACAAAGGCCCCGGTCACCTTACACGTCAGTACAGCCATGGCCTTGGAGAGGGGACCCTAGGAGGCTGGACCCCAGCCTCTTGCCTCTACCCGGGAAAGATTGCACAATGTGGCTCTCACAGAAGGCAGGAGCTCCTGGTCCACCTCGCTCTCCTGGAGGCATCAATCCCGTATTCCTGCTCAGACCCCATAAAAAACTTAGGTGAGGCCGGGCATGGTGGCTCACAGCACTTTGGGAGGCAGATCACCTGAGCTCAGGAGTTCAAGACCAGCCTGGCCAATATGGGGAAACCCCATCTCTACTAAAAATATAAAAATTAGCCGGGTATGGTAGTGTACACATGTAATTCCAGCTACTTGGAAGGTTGAAGCATGAGAATTGCTTGAACTTGGGAGGCGGAGGTTGCAGTGAGCCAGATTATGCCACTGCACTCTAGCCTGGGTGATGGAGTGAGACTCTGTCTCAAAAAACAAAAAAGAACTTAGGAGAGTGTCCCTCTCAAGGGGCCAGCGGACTCCGTTACGGGGCAGCTGGGAGCACTGGCCAGGGTCTGATAATGCCTTGAATGGGCAAGCCTCAGCAGGCACGTGACTCACAGTATGCCTTCATAAAGGTCTTTGAGTCGTGTGTAAGCGGTGACAGTCCTTCTTTGCCCTGGCCACAGCCTTGCCCTGCAAGCCCACCGCCTTAGCTCCCCAGCCAGGGCCCGGCTGGACCTCTCAGGCCATCAGCAGTCCTCCCTCCTCCCTGTGCCCAGCACCCATTCCCTACCTGGTCCACAAGGTCCAGCCCAGCATCCCGGACGTGACAGCCGCAATGGAAGCAAGGCTGCCAGCCAGCACGATGGCAGCTGCCTCGGGCAACTCTCCTGGGCAGGGGGTGGAGGCAGCTGGGTTGGGCGTGCTTTAGGCAGGGGCCAGGGTGGGCATGGTTGCCTTCTGTGCCCTCTCTGCTCTTGGCAGTGTCAGGTAGAGCTGTCCCACCTCCCACCGACCTGCCTCTTGGACACTAGCACCCTTGCAGCACAGAAGCACCAGCTGCCCCTCTGGAAATCCAAGGGCTGTCTCACCTGGGGGCACCAGCGTGAGGGCGCTGTGCTGGACACTGATGTTGTTTTCAGCCTGGCACTGGAACCAGTCTGATGTCTGGCTCGGTAGGAAGGAGAAATTGGCAGGCTCCCCGTGGCGTGGTCTCTGCCGCAGGTGGACCTGTCCATCCTTCCCGACCAGGCTGTAGGTGATGGGTGGGCTGCCCGAGGACACCTGGCACGACACCTCCACCCTGGGGCCTGACCCTCTGTCCCACAGAGCGAAGTTGGCCCGCAGCTCAGACAGTGGCTCTGGCAGGGTGGGAGAAGGCAGCACAGGCATGTCTGGGCGGTATGAACTCCCCAGTAAGTTCTTTGCATTACCAAATACCTAATGAGCTTAGGGGAGACTGCGGCCTCCTCCAGGCTGCCTTCCAAAGTTTGCCCTCCACCTTGTTTCTGGGCTGCTGCTTTACCTGCCTTGTGTACCACAAAATTTCACATTTGGTTTTATCTTATTTTATTTTATTTTGAGACAGGGTCTTGCTCTGTCACCCAGACTGGAGTGCAATGGCACGATCTAGGCTCACTGCAACATCAGCTTCCCTGGCTCAAGCAATTCTGCCATCTCAGCCTCCCGAGTAGCTAGGACTACAGGCGCGCACCACCGCATCCAGCTAATCTTTGCAATTTTTGTAGAGATGGGGTTTCACCATGTTGGCCAGGCTGGTCTTGAGCTCCTGGGCTCAAGCTATCTTTTGCCTCAGCCTCCCAAAGTGCCGGGATTACAGGCGTGAGCCACCACGCCCAGCCTGGTTTATTCTTGTGTAGCACCAGACTTAGCAAATAAAAATACAGTTAAATTTTAATTTCAGATAAACAATGAGTAATTTTTTACTGTACATGTCTTACGTAAAGTTTATCTTGTCACTATTCATTCAGTCTTTTCTTTTTTTTTTTTTTTTTTAGACGGAGTTTCACTCATGTTACCCAGGCTGGAGTGCAATGGCACGATCTCGGCTTACCGCAACCTCCGCCTCCTGGGTTC